CTTATTTGACTTGATCTATAAACTCGTAAGTTGGTTAATCTAGAGATTTACTAATCTATACATGCAATGAGTAAAACTCACGTAATATGATGGTAACAAATTATCATCTTGTTTTGCTCGGCATTGTTAGGATAGTTACGAATTTTATCATTGTTTGTTGGGTATTGCGAGATCATTTGACGTAGACATCATATTCGCATCGTATAATCCAACGTGATATTAAAAGAGATAATGTAGTCGTATGCAAGGGCTAGAAACTAAATTAGTACGCCAGTTTATATCCTAATATCATTTCATAACGAGCAAATTCCTCTGAAGATCCTGCTATTATCTTGTTATACTGCACTGCTCTTGATGCTGTTCTAATTATGATATTTATCTACGCTAAAAATGGTACGAGAGAGAATAATTATTGCTAAAACAATAATAGAAAATATTCTTTTCTAAGAGTCGCTGCTGTGATGAATTTGTTAGTATATCCCTTCCTTGATAATTTTTAGTTATTTATAATGGTGATGGTTACCAATACTTTATGTCGTTTTTACTCAATGGGATTGGATTTTTGATCATGAAAGTGGATAGCTGTCGTTACAGTGATTGTGAATTGAATACATACCTTTTTATGTTGAATGGTATCGGCTAATTTTTTTTTAATTTATGCTATTAACTCTGCTATATTAGAGATTTATAAGTTGTATATTAGTTGTTTATGAAGCTTAGGATTTCTATTTACCGTAATAATTGATGAAGCAGTGACTGTAATGATCTTAACTACTGATATACTCAAAAAATTTTAAATATTTACAATTTTAGCGGCTTTCAGCACTTTACATTGATTGGATGCAGTAAGTAACTACATTCCAATGGGTAAGAGTAATTTTAGTTATTAATGATAATTATTATTTGTATATCTTTTGTTTATTACGTTTAATGGTTTTACTTATCCACCTCAATGCTAGTAATAGAAAATAATTCATTATTTATTTGTCATATATAAGACAGGAATTTCACCAAGATCATAAATTATATTTATTAACTTTTATCGATAGTGATCAATCATTGTAATCGAACTTTTACATCACGTTTAAAAATTACTCAATTGACTGCATATACACCCTCTCTTTGAGATGACAGTTTTGAAAGATGCTAAAAAATATTGAAGCCTACCTGGTTAATGTGAAAGGATACAGAAAGTGACAATTATTTTGAAGGTGCTAAAACTGAAAAAGCATACCTATTCATTGGGAGCGGATATAGACCAAGTAACGTAGCTAAAAGTTACTGGAATTATCGTATTGAATAGTGAAAGAGATAGTGTCAAGTAAATTTTAACTACGATTGCTTCAAGTACCAAAATCCATAAAATTGACCGTAGAACTTGAAATGATACTAACACGTTTATACATATGTATAATCTTAACCATAAAATTACCTGCCTGGTATTGACGAAACAGTTTTCGAAATACTGTAGTTATGATAAAATTATAAGTTGTTTGTAACATAATTGTCGGTAACTCCCCAGTAGAAGATTAAAATATAGCTAGAATGATGTTACTTTATCCGTGAATGCATAAGACATCGAATGTATCTGCTGTTGTCTCTAACAACAGACAAATGGCTCTTTTGCCGATTACAATTCCTAATTCATACCGTTAGAAGCAGATCGAGTATTACTGACATCTTTTTGGGCATTTCTTTTGCGTACTTGGATTGAATCGTTACAATATTATCGGTAAAGACATATTTCATAGCAAAATAGGCAAATGGTTTGGCCTATTTATGACATAACAGTATTTTTACTTTTGGGGTTGCAAGCTATTTTCTTTTAATACTTTGTTTTAAATGGCGTCCATTTAGAATTTTAATTTTTAATAAGTGTCTTCCACAAATTACTACCCTAGTCTGCCTAAAGATCTAGTAAGAATGTAAAAACTGCTACCATAACGCCTAAGAACTACCCTTCTAAAAGGCTCACAACTAGTAGACACACCGTACTATAATCTATAAAGCAGCTTTATACTATAACACTGAAACACTGTCGGTAACAATGCTTTCTTAAGACAACAGCTCAATTCGCTACCAAGACAATTTCAAGCAACATTTAATCATTAGTCCTCTTCGTTTCTCTAATCTATCCGCCTTTTGTGGATAACAATTAAACTTCTGTTACAGTGATATACACTGAAATATCGAGATTATAGTAGAAACATCTATGTTAGGATAATTTTGCTGACTTACCCTTATATGAAGAGTTTCTAATTTAGATATGTGAAATTTAAATATAGCACTAGCTTTTATGGTAATATATACAGCCTACTGAAATCAGTAGTTTAATTAGGGAATCGAGAATAATCTTACAATTCAAATCACTGTGATTGTAATTTACTTATGGTAGATTATAGATTATCGTAGAAATGTTCCGTGATAAGACATATTGTAATCTAACAATTTTGTAATAGTCGTTCGATGTCTATGTTTGTAAATACTGTTGTCTTCATTAGGTAGTAGTAAATAAAATTAGCTTCTGATTTATTATTAGGTTTCAACGTTAATATTGCTAACAAGGATGTCTTTGCTATTGTAAAGGAGTATATAAATGCCATAGATCGTGTAATAGAGTTAATTCTTAGTAGAGCAAAAGTGTTCTTGATAGTACGGATATCGTTCCTTGATACGTGGTTCAAGGAACTGACTTATTGATCATAAATTACAATCTTGTTGCAAAGCTGTTTTGTGACAAGTTCCTATTTATGATTGTTTACGTATCATGTAGCCTCTCTCTGGGCTCTGATATAAACTCCAAGTTCCTATCAACGCTACCGCTCTTGAATTTTTAGCTCAATTTGACGGAATCAATTCTAAATCGTGCACTATCGAGGAAAGCCGTAGAGTACAGTAATACTGTATTTCTCGTCAATTGAGTTCATTCACACACCATTATTTAAACTGAAGAGACAATCCTCGTTTTGCTAGCGTCGTCTCTTAGGTCATCAAATTCGAATAGTACCATATGACTACAGGTTCATTTTCTATCTTTCATTTGATGACTAAGCGTACTTCTACAGCACATTCGAGAGCTAAATTTGATTTAAAAGCATAATATTTATATAATAAACCATAAAAAATAACCCGACTTAACAGAATTAGTTAATAAGAAATAAGATACTTCGGCATTACACTCAATTACTACTAGTAATAGCCCACAACTGGATTTTCTAATTTATTTGCCATAAAGAAATATATGCGTTTATTTTAGCAAGGCTATACGACGATTAAAATTCGATTATAAATGGTTATAAACATAATTCTGGGCATTATAGTAAATGGAGCGTGATATGTAATAATATGGCACTTCGTTGCCTAAATTTATAGAGTTTAAACAACATAATTCAAGCGAGTGCTTATAGATAGATCCACACTACTTTTCTTCTTATAGTATTTGTCTAATTTCATCAATAAAATCGCTGTGATAATATTCCATATTTATAATGGTTCTCTCACAGTATATTAATAAATGAAATATCGCTTTCGCGACGGGTGAATAGTATTGTAAAAATATATTACAAAATTGAAGGAATCTCTAGCTTGATTTTATGTAGCTAACAATAAGAGGCGTTTTACATTCCAATCAAGATTATTATTAATTAAAAAGGTGCATTATAGAGTATCTGGATTGGCAAGTGGATGCTTTCTGTTAGTGCTGTAATGAACTAAAATACCTCTATTAATAAATACCAACGAATTTCAAATCTTACGTTAAAAATTTTCCGTACAGATCTTCATTACAATTAGTGAAGAATACAAGAGCATTTATATAATCCAGTTGGGGATGGCAATTGATTAGTTAGATTGTAATTTTTGCATTGGCTTAACGACTCCGTCTATATTAGTTCATATAACATTATCTCAAAATGCTAATAAGTATGAAAAATTGCGATAAAAATATATTGACTTCCAGATTGGCTTTATATAGTAAACAATGAGAGAAAAAGCAACAAATAAGATGCGTAAGTGTTATTGAGGAATATAATTTATTATGAATGACACATAGAGCGCAAATTGATGTAAATTTGCACTTGATAGGGTTACTATATTGAAATCGTAATAATTCAACCATTTATAAGGAATACTAATGATACACTTGGATGTTTGATTTTAATTGATGTTTTGACTGGCAATAAGTAGTTACAATAGGTTTCGATAGAAAATTGATAAACTATTGCTGACTTAATTTCTTTTATATCATATTTCTAAGAAAAAATTTATTTCATGAAAAAAAAACCCATTTTCATAAATTATAGAAGGGATTTTGGCTACATTGTTTTATCCTAATAAAATTTAGTTCAATATGAGCTTACTATAGCTATTAATGGACTAGTTCTACCATTGATATACGGATTTGGATATCTTCAATAATTTAATTTATTAGCCGTGCAATTTATTCCAAAGGCTTATTTAAATTTGGTGCGCCAATGATCCTGACGAAAGAAAAAAATTGGAATTTTACCTTATAGGCAATACCTTGACTTGATATACTGTAAAACTTTAAATATACTTGTATGTATACTAATTTGGATGAATGTGACTTTGTATATCATGCCAACTTGTACTCAAATAAATCTAACTTTCTAAATTTTATTAATTAGAATCAATAAAAGGTTATTTTTGGATCATTAAAACATTCGGATAAAGTATAATAAACTTTTAAGGTAAAGATAATCTTAACATTTTTCTTGATTTGTCTATATGACGGATTCTAAGATGAGTTCGAAATTTTTATATATGGATGCCAAAGTCCATTTCCCTCTTAGTATTACTTACAGCCATCTTAAATAGGAAGATGAGATAAAACGTTGAAATTGCACTCTTGTACATTTATACCGTATATATATCGGTGTAGTTAGCGTTGCTATTTATTCTATCGATCACTTTTATCCCAGATAGTGGATTTTTTTTCAATAGAAGAAACTGTTCAGACCAAGGAAATTGATCTCTGAAAAATGAACGCGACAGAGAGAATTCAAGTTTTACAACAATTCGATTCATTACGAGCAGTTTCTTGGATCATAGGAATTTTAGCCTTGATTGCAAATATATCGGTAATTATTTGGATGGTATGTTACATGTACAATCCTTTGCGATGGTTTAGCCAGAGAAACCCGAGAAATATCACCAATAATCCTTATTTGTTGATCATTTTCAATCTAGCTGTAGCTGATCTGCTAGGTGCTTTGTATTTGATCATTTTAGCAATCAGTGATGCGACTTTTAAAATTAATGGCGACTTTCAGACACCAAATGGGACGTATATAAATAACTGGATTGTCAGCCCAACATGCTTCTTGGAAAGAATATTATCTCAAGTCTCGTTATTAATGTCGATATTTATCACATTTTTCATTACTGTAAGTCGCTTTATCCAAGTTGTTTGTCCTTACAGTGGGTTAGAGGTAACGATCAAAAAGTCTCGAATCGCTCTCCTATCCTTATGGATAATCAGCTTTACAATTGCAATCGTCGGAGCAGTGGAAAGTTCTCATGTTTCGTTAAGGAAACAAGATCATTTAAGCATTCTTGGATTTTTATGCCAGTTGGAATCTTTAGAAACACCAGTTATTATTGGTATTGTCTACTCGGAATTACTACTTGGAATTATTGGCTATGTTGGCACCATCATACTTTACTTAATAATTGCTTGCAAGTTAAAGAAAACGCGTAGTAGCATTAATAGTATCAATAGAAGCAAAGCGGAAAGTAAAATTCACCTCATTATCGCCTGGATAGTGGTAAGCAATGTTATTACATGGGTGCCAATAACTTTATTGACTATCTTGGAGGGTTTGATCGAAACATTCAGCTCTGATCAACATGAAATCACGCCATTACTGGTCTTACTATTGTATTTGAATACCGCTGTCAATCCTATCGTGTATCTTGTTGTTGGTACTCATACCATACTGAAAAGGCATAAAAAAGTCGATACAGTTGTCCAAAATTTATCATGTAAGAGTTCTGAACGTAAGAATAATCACGATCTACTTGTAGTCGAATTTTCTAACTAATAATTTTTAGGTTACTGTCTTTCTTAGCTACGTCTCATCGAGTCAATATTTCCATGCCAGTTTCTAATATAGTTTTTAATTACTTAATTATAACATGATTTCAATCACTTAATTGAATTATTGAACGGATGGCAATACTCAGCTCGATTAGTAAAATTTATTTCCTATAATATCTTCGCGATTGCTGCTTATTTCTTGGTCGTCTAGTCCTTTTGATCGATATAGGATAATCATCATTTTTAAGAAAAATTCATGATGTCTTTAACTGTTCCATTTATAGTAACAAAGCCAATATTAATATCATATTATTCTGTTACAGTTAATAACTTTGCTGCAACTGTTAATTGATTGATTGATCAAATTTAACATTTGCTAAATGATTTATCTCAATACTGATTGTAAGCATTCACTAACTGACGTTTATCCTATTCTGGCTGTTTTAGTTTCAATTGTTTTGATATCTATCTATTACAGTAAATTCTTTTATGAACTTGTTTAATTCATTAGAAGTATGCTTAATTTAGAGAAAAAATCGCCGTCAAAATCAATACAGATTAAATTTTGTTAATAGATGAATGGATAAAATTCTGTATTTCGTCAATAAGGTTTACCATTTTGTTACATACCGTATCTTTTCATTCGAATTTTAAATTTTAGTTGCTAAGAACTCAACAATATCATGATTCTAGTTACATTGGAAAACTATCATAAATGGTTATGATTGCTATCATTACGCACTGATTTGCTATTATTAGGTGATGATTCGCTATCAAGAAATTTCAAAAATAAATGATTCTAGTAATTAAATAATTTACGGGATTAATTTATGAATGTATCAATCTTGATTCTTAGTTTGTCGTATTGAATCAATCTACGGATATCAGTCTAATACTACCATAGGTGTAATAGAGGCTAAATTTTGAATCAATCATCGCAAAATTATTTACAATAGCTGAATGGGTGTATAGACTATCGCTTGTTATTAATCCAGGAATCTATAAATAGGTCATTATGCTCAATAATTAAGATAAGAGTTTTGTTCAGCTTGCAATATCCGATTTAAGCTTTGAACTACTACATATTGGCACCGAACCAGTCAGTATACTAAGGCAAATTTAAAATAGTTTGCGTTTCGGTACTTGTAAGCTGATTTTACGTTGTAAGATGGATTTTAAGTTATACTAGTACGAACTCACGTCGCTTTGCTGACGTTTTACGATAATGTACCTATTTGTTCATAATTAACAGATAGTATTACCATTCGACATTATATATATCCCGGTAATAGCCAGGCACTACTATATTCACAGCTATGCTTGTAGAATAATACTTTTCAATAATGTATTCTCGGATGAAATACTATGAAATGCTATATTAAGATTATATTAATGGTCCAAAGCACACTAATGTACGGTGATGGACATACCAAGTTAAGATTAGCAGGTACTGTAAAATATCGACAGTGCGGTACAATGTCCTTCGTACTGTGGTCAGTTCTATCCAATCATTATAATGTGTCTAAGGATCGCTTGCGTATGCAAGCAAAGCTTGCTCTGTCGATAACAACCGTTATAAGAAAATGTAACAATCAAAATGGCTGTGTAGAAAACTCTATAAAGATTCTATGTTTATTCAATTTTCATCTGAGTATTACATCAAATCAAAATTGAAAGGCCCAGTGGCCACCTTTAGCGATGTAACGAATACTATTTTAAAAATCAGTACTCTGCAGAAATTACTACCTTAGAGCCATTCGTTTTACATGAAGAAATCTTTAGGTTAAAAGTACTGTAAGAATCTTATACTGACCTATTGAAATGAACCCATAATCAAAGTCATCTAACAGTAGTATAAATACCCCCGCGCTGCTCGTTTAAAAGGATGAGTGGGTTTTGACGAGATTGAGGCATCTGATGCATATATTGGCAATCACTTACTGCTATTGAATTTAGCCGGTCTAAATTCAATAGCAGTAAGTGATTGCCAATATCTGACATGCAGTATGTAGAGTAATTTTAAGGCAAGCGAAATTCAACGTACGCGTAGATAGTGACCTTTTACTAATAACTGCTTATTAGTATCTATCATCATTATTGGCAATATTTCTCACGATGATTTCAGTATATAAAATGAGTCCAATACTATTTATTGTAGATTGATATATCTAATAAATATAATTGTGACACTCCAGTGCCTGTTAAAATTTCGTACTATGATGCACATATAATTTTGTCTTTTTTCCTCTTTGATTTGGTATCCTTTTATCTTTCTAGTATTCCGTTACTGTCAATGTGAAATGCAAATTTATTGCCGGATATCAATAAATTAATTTACCTAATAACTTATTGTTTGATTATATTAACAGCTTGTTAATGCATTTAAGTAGTTTCTTACTCGCATGTAACTGCTAGAGTTGCACTTAGATGTAATGTAGCGATTTAATATCAAATTTAATTTTACAGTATGACGAAAACTACCAGCAATATCTTCTTTATTAGCAGGATCTAACATTGAATACATTTATGGAGAAAAAAAGTTGGTGCTCACAATTGGTGATAATGTGCTCCAGTCAGCAGTGATGGAAGATTCCATCGATTCGTAGTATCTAAGTGAAGTAAACGATATTAGTAACTTGTTAAACAGAAAAGCGTAGGATGATATGGAATAGTAATTTTGGCGTATGGAATGAAATCATTTTATGAAAGCATTAACAGCTCACCTTAAGTAAAAATTGGTCCTTACAGGAAAAGCTGCTTTTCATTAGCGCTTTACCAGGTGTAAGCTAGATGAATAATAAATAATTAACGAGAATTTTATTAAATAATCTACAATACTGCGCAATATAGTTCAAATTAAAGTAATTTTTTCCGCTAATGTTACTAACCAGTGGGATTTGGTTTATTATCAAATGGCATATTATATTTGGTATTATTATCAAATGGTGTAAGGATGTGATTGTAAGGATTAACATATCTCGAATATGTACATTACCTATGGAAGAGCTGCTGTACAATGCGTAAAGTAAACATCTTGAGTAAATACTGGCACTCGAAACTTTCGTTGAGCATTCATTGTAATAAAAACTCATCAGAGAATAAGATAAATCCATTATATTATAGAAAGCAATAGCAGAAAGTATCCATAAATAGATTAGTCTCGGAATATGAGAAGTGTTCAATCCACACTTATATGTTAAACTAGGAGGTTTAGGGAGTTGGAGCAGCGATTAGACGAAGGCTTCTTAAAGAATGTTTCAGCCATTTTAGCCTAAGATAGAAGGATTCTTGATTGATAAGACTTAAATTTACATTTCCTTGAAGCTATAAGCTTATCGTGGTAGTCCCAAATATGTGGACTTCACATTCCAATAAAAACGTTTAATACATTCTTACAGAATTAGCAAAGAATATTTCTATCATTTTAGCGTAAGATAGAAAGATCTTTGATTTGGAAGCCTGAAATTCATATTTTCTTGCTGTTATAATTTTGTCGTGGTAGTCCATATTCCAGTATAAAAGTTTAATAACAAATTGCTTTAGCTTGTTTAGTTACGCTATTAAACATGAAATAGTTAGATAATTACCATCACTGAAATGTTGTGAAAAGATGGAAAAAAGACTTTGCATAAATATCTTGACTACAAATTGTATAGCTTACATCAATCTATGAACAGTGCAATCTAGTCATTCTGTTGCTATCTTGATGTGGCCGCAGGAAGAACATTTCATGATATACTGAAATAGTTAATTATGTTAGGCTGTTCTACAATGTCGCAAGCTAACATTAACATACATAGATTCTATTAATTAAAAAAATGATAATACTAATTTTTATATCTAACTACGTACATTAACTCTATCTCTTCACTATCATAATTTTTAATTGAATATCATATTCCCAAGTATTTTATGCAAGCTTATAGTGATAAATAGCAACTGTACCGGTATTTTGCCATAGATAGAAATAGAATAGTTGCATTGCAGAAAAGTTCATATTTAATCGCATACGGTAATTAAAAGTATAAAAGCTTTTGGTGCAGAATAAAGATATTTTACCGTAGTAAAATATGACCTGTGAATAATAGAAGTCGAAACAAAATCAAGGCGCAAGTAAGAATATATTATTAATGTTGAAGATCGCTCTCACACGTGACAGATTCGAAGAAAATATCGACGATATACTGCAAAGTTGTTATTGGTCAATAGTACTGTATTTTCATATGATTAATGAGGTACGGTTTTCTTTAACTTGGCTTGGATAGTTGACGAAAGTAGCAAGAAGTTATCATAGAAAAAATAGATGACTCGTGCAATGGTATTAGTTGAGTATGGCTCATAAAGTTAAGCTTGTTCAGGTTTTACCATAAAGTAGCGCAATATCTTGATTGATTACGCTTTGCTGTTTGATAATAGTCTCAACAAAAACGGAGTAAATCTAAAGCATTTTATGGAAGGCCAACCGTTAATTTTTAAATTTAAAGTGTCAGTAATAATTATACTATCTTTATTTAAACAGAAACAGAACATCAGGCCTATAGCCTTTAGGTTAATAGCACCATAATTTGAATATGCTATTAATCAGACAGGGTAGCAATTTCTTTCGTTCTCTAGCTTTCACCATCTTCGGTTAACAGGTTGAATTCCATCCTTGAGTGAGCTATTTTCACTTTTTGGCGTTTCAACTGATCTGGTTATCCTTGTGAGACTATGTAATGACCGAGTAATAGTCTTTTACTATTGCTATATGAGGTCTTTTAAAAGAACCGGAATAGGTCTTCTCAACTTTTTCCTGAGGTCAGTTTGTCGGGTGGTAATATACCAAGGAATTCCAATGTCAGGGCAAAGTGGTTTCTTTTCGGATCCCACCGCTGCCATCAGTGTCACAAAACAAGTTTTCGTGATCGTTTCCAAACTAAACTATCTACTCTTAAGGTGACTAACTCTGGAGATCCTCAGTAAAGGAAAACTAACTTATTCCTATATTATAGAAAATGAGTCCAACGATAGGTTAATGGTTTAGGTTATTAAATAAATATTTTATTACCAGCTATTGCCACTTAGTATCAGAGTACTCTAGCGTAGCCTCAGTGGAACTAAGATTAAAATCAACAATCAGGCTTATATACAATCTCCTATGTCACACAAATTCCCCAGTGCTAATCTGCCACATTAAATTAAATCATATAGAACGCACTACAGGCTTACTATAGACTATACCGAGTGTTAATTAATATATCTCGCTAGATAGAATTAATTAGCAAGTTCAATTAGTTGTCACACCACAATGGTGCAATATCGAATTCTTGAATTAGTTATATTGCTGACTTCGGCATAATTAATTAATAACAATTAATATAGTTTGACTCAATTCAAAGTCATAAGTAATAATAATCAATTAGCAATTGAGGATTGCTGTCTACTAGACAACAATTTTTAATAAATATTTTTAATAACACGACAGTATTTTGCAAGGTTAATTATAACCTTTACAGTCATTTTACTATCTTAGATTACTACTAGCTATTATCAAAGAGTTTCAAGCTCCGTAACAATAGTACAGTAGTGAGACAGTGTTATATACTGTATTAGAGTAGAAATATCTACCTTAGGATAATTTTGTTAGCCTATCCTTATTTAGTTAGCTTCTAATTAGGATATACTGTGTTTTAATATAGTATTGGCTTTATGTGAAAGTGACATATATACATTGTG